CTTAGAGCTAGGTACCAAAAATATGTTTGGAGCCACTTTTTTTTTTTTTTTTGGTCATCTGAGCACACATTATAAGCGATTTCAGATATAAGTTGGAATCAAGCTTCAGTGACTTATCTTATTGCAAGAGACACGTCTTTTAAGAGAAGTGAGTGATTAACCAACCACTAGCACACAGCGTTTGTGTTGAAAAGTAGGCTTGAGTGAAGCACGGCTTTAATTAGCTACAAATACACGTTTCTCAGGCTTGTATGGGAACACACTTACGCCAGGTCAGTGCAGTAGAAAGGAGTGATGACGTTTGCTCCGATTTCTGGGTTGGACGTGAGCCGTCCGGCTTCTCTGGCTTCTCGTTCAGGATCCACAAGTGACCGTGGTAAAACATAGAGCTCCTTGGAGTGCTCAAAATGCCCCCGGACCTTTACAGGCCTGTACTCCAATTCCTTCAGTTCCATGGGGCTGTGTGGAGTAAGATGAAAACAAAATCATGGCTGTGGCAGACAAATCACAAATCAGATCAGGGATTTTATCACGGGATTCTCCTTTTCCCCAGCGCTTTGCTGTCAGCTCTGAGGACTCAGCTTCCTTACTCTAGTGTCAGCGGGACGGGCTCTGCTGTGACTCTTGACGCCAACTGCGCAATCAAATCCAGTTTCCACTTCCGTCGCTGAACCTGGAGATACACGAAACAGGACAGTGCAATAACCTTGGCAAGCCTCAAAACTGTTTCTTTACGGGTATTTTCTCCCCAGGCATTACCTAAAGCAGGACAACCACAGACTCCAAAAATGGGGGCTACTCACTGCACTTGAGACGAGGGGGGAGATGAAACAGTGGAATACAACCAAAATCACTGAATTTCCTCTTCAAAGGCTTGCAGGAACCTTGGAGACGGACACCAGGAAAGCTAACCGCGACGCGGTCTCCCACACAGCGGTATCTGCCCCGGCGGTGACGCGAAGGGGACCACGCCGGGAGCCGCGGGGGACCCGGCGCGCTCGGTACCTGCCAGGTGCCCGGGGGAGATGAAACAGTGGAATACAACCAAAATCACTGAATTTCCTCTTCAAAGGCTTGCAGGAACCTTGGAGACGGACACCAGGAAAGCTAACCGCGACGCGGTCTCCCACACAGCGGTATCTGCCCCGGCGGTGACGCGAAGGGGACCACGCCGGGAGCCGCGGGGGACCCGGCGCGCTCGGTACCTGCCAGGTGCCCAGGCCGAAGGTGCCCA